CCCGAGGGCCCCATGAGTTGTCAGTCCGCCCCTGTGTGTAACCAAACATACATTGTAAAGGTTCTGGACTTCCCAGGATTCAGGTAGACAGTTTTATGTAAAACAAATGTTACAGCTACAGACTAAGAATCACTTGTGTTGTCCCTGGAAATACTTCCTGAGATCTGTGAAATTATGCTGTTCATTTATTATTATTATTATACAGGATTTATATGGCGCCAACGGTTTGCTCAGCACTTTACAATATACTGGGAGACAATACAGTTCAATACAAGAGGGGTTTGAAGGCCCTGATCCTTGGAGCTTACAATCTAGGAGGGTGGGGCTGAGTGGTACAGTAGGTAGTCACTGTGGGGGATGGACTGGTATAAAGAGTAGAGGATTCCATTATTAGCCGAGGGCGGGATAGGCTTCCCTGAAGAGATCGGTTTTCAGTGATCGCCTAAAGGCAAGTAGAGTAGGTGATAGTCTGATAGATTGGGGTAGGGAGTTCCAGAGGATGGGTGATGCCCTGGAGAAGTCTTGGAGACAAGCTTGGGAGGAGGCGATAAGGGAGCTGGAGAGTAGGAGGTCTTGTGAGGAGCGGAGAGGACAGTTTGGGTGATATTTGGAGATAAGATCAGATATGTAATTCCATAATATAACATCCCAATAGTTGTGGGTTGTCAGAGAACTCACCCAGGATTTGTAGGGGTCCTGTTCTCCTCTCTATGGGTTGCTGTAGTCATGAATGTTGCACTCTGCAGATGAACTCTGACCTCTGGTCTTCCGGCAGTGTTGGGGTGAACATCAGACTGGCTGTACAGCTGTATGTGTTATCTGACTGCCTCTGGTGTCCACTGATATCAGTCTTGTATTTATTGTTATCAACAGCAACAAAATTGTCTGTCTCCTTCTTCTTCTTATACCATTCCACAGTCAGATCATCCGGGAAATATCCAGAGATCCTCACTTGTATTCTGGACTCAGTGTTGAGTTTTAGGTCAGAAGAGTTTGGTTCTTCAATCTGTGGGCGCCAAGGAAGATCTGGAAGGTAATTATGATTATTAGTCCAAATAAACCAAATATTCTACAGACACAAGGACACGTAATCATGTTCCACTCCAACAATGTATCATTGCTATAATGCCATCATGATTTTATGTTCTAAAGCCGTACCGATCTCTCCCCCAGGAAGGTCAATGATACGCGTCTCTTATTAAACGAGGGCAGAAGAAATGCTGCAATCGGTTTTAAAGAAGGGAAGGTGATCTCTTTAGTTTCTCCTCTCCTGTCCTCTATACACTAATAAATATGTTGAGCTCCTGTAATCTTTAATGTTACGAGGTTTGAATATTTCAGTCCATTACACACAATAGACAGAGGCAGGAACCACTGATATGTATCAACTGATGACCACTGATGGATGGTATGATATGTTTACAAGGGGTGACATATCCTGATCTTCTATGTTCTGACATACTAGCAGATGACTTGTTGTAACATTGTTGTAACTTGTAACATTCTTCTTTGGCATGGAGACAAGTGACATCTTCCATGATCCTACACAGACATAATGTGACCATGCTGCCCCCTGACACAGTGACAAGCTGTGCTAATGCTGTTTTTGGACACGTGATGAGCTTTGTATTTTTAAGATCTTTTTCAGTATTCTGTGTAAAGTAAATCTACTTGGTGTCTGAGCACCACAAACCACAAATGGGATTTATGTGTTATATTGAAAGCAAACGTGTCCATCCATACATGTCTCAATGCTTTATTTTGCTGAGAAATCACCGTGAAAAACATCTCCTAGCTTTCCTGGTTGTGACCATCGTAAGTCAGGGCAGATGATTCATGTAGCATTTCCTGGAATCCACCTAGCCCTAGCTCAGGCATGCATACAGGAGGGTGTGTAAGCTGAGAAGCTCAGCCTTCCTTTTTCCCTCCTGAAGACTCCTGGGATGTATGACATCCTTTGCTTAGGCCTGAAAACCAGGAACTGAAAAAATGAAAAAAAAAAAAAAAAAAAGTTTAAAACAATTTTTAACCACTTCCAGACCAGCCCGTTCTATATAAACGGCCGGACGGTGGCAGTGCAGGTCGGGTGGGTGTTTATAAATGGCCTCCCCGCTCCCTGCTTGTGTGCACCCCATTGGAGCGCGCAGCACCGCGATCCGGTGTCCCGCTGTGTCCTCCAGACACAATGGAACACTGATTGTCGGACGGGACCTCTGTATGAGGTCCCGTCATGTGATCACTGATTGGCCAATCAGTGATCACATGCAAAGTAGTAAGCAAGATGTCATTTGTGACATCATTGCTTACTGCGTGTGAAATTTGTGAATGATCACAGAGATCACATGGTACAGGGCTATTCACAGCAGCCTTGTACCATGTGACAAGCTGTGACCAATCACAGCTCACTCAGTACTTCTCAATGACTGCAAGAATGCAGACAGAAAGAGAAATGATTGCTTTTACATCCTTTATGGGTATAAAAGCAATCAGTGTAAAAAAAAAAAAAAAAATCTTCATCACCCCCCACAAGTAGTACAGTGTCACCATGGTGACACTGTACTGCTAGGGTGACAGTATGTAAAAAAAAATAAATAAATAAAAAATAATAAAAAATAAAAATGTAAAAAAAAAAATGTTTAAAAATTATACTTTTTGGTTATAAACTAATTTGGATTTTTTCTTTACTAAAAATAACGGAATAAATTTTGGCCAAGATTTATGATTAAAAACAGTTTTATCAATAATAGCAGCATAAGGACTAAGAGAGTCCATGTTGATTGAGAGAGGGAAGTTCTGCTTTTATAGGCAGATAGATCTTTCCGGTATAGAGCTTGTGTCCTAATTAAGAGAAGAGAGTATCTTATCCGGGTCCCCTGGAAGTAGCTTCAGTGCTCTACTGGACCAGTAAAAGCTCGAATCCTGAACTCGGTCACCAATAGGACACTATGTACATGTTTTTAGTTGTTTTTTTTTTCTGTTACTTGTGTGGATTTCCTTGGTGGGATCTCGTTTCCATCCAATTCAAAGCACATGGAAAGGTTCATGGTCTCCTGCCCAAAATGGCCCAAATGTGTATGGCAAGATCATTATAATATAAACGCCATTGGCAGAAGGACTGATGTGATGGTGTACATACTCTGCGGAGTGAACTGTCATAATGATATAAATTAATTAGGTAAATAAAACTTTACATAGCAATCTAGTATGCTGTTTACTGAAACAACACAAATTCTAGGAACTTGTTTTATTCTTCTGTTCGTATATTTCGTATATTTCTCTGGATCTGCATGTGTGTAAGTCCAGTCCAGTCCAGCATTCCAGTCCAGCATTCCAGTCCAGCATTCCATTTCTCTAACCTGAAGATGTAGTCTATTTCTAATACAAACATAACATTTTCCAGTTCATGTTTCAGTGGGGATTGCACCGTATAAATGTGCAGGAACAGTAGAATACGTCTTACATGTGAATGCCATTTTCATTACTAGAATGTAATTAGTAACAAGTGATCTAATCTGCTGTATTTATGTATTACCTGATTTCATCAATACGATCCTCTGAGGTTGTCTCACTGATTGATGCTCCCAGGTCACATAGACGGGAAAGCAGAGAGGTCGGGGCAATGTGCACACACTTGTGACATCAAATGTTTCACCATCCTCAGACTTCACTGGTTGGCCATTAGCCCTGAGCTTGGTTTGTGGTTCTCCTGTGCTCCATGTAATGTTCATCTCCGGAGGGTAGAATTCTTCAGAGTCAGGGAACACTGCGCCTCTCCTGACTTACTGAAGGGAGAATCTCACCGGCTCTATCTCCTGCGGAGCCACTAGACATAAATACAAGAAAGATTACCAGTTTCCAGCATCACAGACAACTGTAGTATATAATAAAACGTATTTAAAGCCCAAACTCTTTTTTGTTTTGGATGAAGCCGTAAAGGGTTAGAATCTCTGGCAGGTTTTTGCATTGCAATATTTTTATTGAAAACTTTCATAGACAATGTAAAACGTAAGATTTGTACGTACATAGCATTGCACAGTATACATGACAAAAGGCAGGTGCATATACATTGAGTTGTATGGTAATGGTATGCAAGCCCCCCAATGATACATTGAAGGTAAGTACAGTGGTCAGGGAAATATTGTATTGCACCCCAGACCATATGTGAGTTCCACTAACAGCTAGCTTTATGCACCATCAGCACACTGAGCTGCGTGGGGGGAAAAGGGGGGGAATCCCAGATCTGGGAATGACCTTGTAGCCCTGTTTTTGAGCGAATGACGTGGAACTTAGAGGAAGACAAAACTTAACCACTTGCCATCCGCCTGCTGTTTATAAACGGCACCCGCCATTTCTAGCTGTACAAGGTCCCGATCATGTGATCACGGATTGGCCAATCAGTGATCACATGCAAAGTAGTAAGCAAGATGTCATTTGTGACATCATTGCTTACTACGTGTGAATGATCACAGAGGTCACATGGTACAGGGCCCTTCCCAACAACCTTGTACCATGTGACAAGCTGTGACCAATCACAGCTCACTCAGTAGTTCTCAATGGCTGCAAGAATGCAGACAGAGAGAAGGAGAAATTATTGCTTTTACATCCTATATGGGTATGTAAAAAAAAAAAACAAAAAAACAAAAAATAATAATATAAAAAAAGTTTAAAAATTATAATTTTTGGTTATAAACTAATTTGGTTATTTTATTTATTTTTTTTTACTAAAAAGATAACGGAATAAATTTTGGCCAAGATTTATGAAGAAAGATTATTTATTTGCAAAATTTTATAAGAAAAACTTTTTTCAAAATTTTTGGACTTTTCATTTACATAGCAAAAAAAAATAAAAATCCCAGCGGTGAATAATTTCCACCAAAATAAAGCTTTATTTGTCTCAAAAAAATGGTAAAAAATTAATATGGTTACAGTGTTGCATGACCGCGCAATTGTCAGTCAAAGTGTGATAGCGCTGAAAGCTGAAAATTGCCCTGGACTGGAAGGGGGGAAAGTGTCCGGACTGGAAGGGGGGGAAAGTGTCCGGACTGGAAGGGGGGAAAGTGTCCGGACTGGAAGGGGGGGGAAAGTGTCCGGACTGGAAGGGGGGGAAAGTGTCCGGACTGGAAGGGGGGGAAAGTGTCTGTACTGGAAGGGGGGGAAAGTGTCCGGACTGGAAGGGGGGGGGGAAAGTGTCAGGACTGGAAGGGGGGGAAAGTGTCAGGACTGGAAGGGGGGGAAAGTGTCAGGACTGGAAGGGGGAAAGTGTCCGGACTGGAAGGGGGGAAAGTGTCCGGACTGGGAGGGCGGTGAAGTGTCCGGACTGGGAGGGCGGTGAAGTGTCCGGACTGGGAGGGCGGTGAAGTGTCCGGACTGGAAGGGGGGGGAAGTGTCCGGACTGGGAGGGGGGGGGGGAAGTGTCCGGACTGGGAGGGGGGGGGGAAGTGTCCGGACTGGGGGGGGGGGGGGGGGGGGGAAGTGTCTGGACTGGGAGGGGGGGGGAAGTGTCCGGACTGGGAGGGAGGGGGGGAAGTGTCCGGACTGGAATTGGTTAAGAAATACAGGAAAGCAGAGTGAAGAAAGTGAGCAGAAAGAGACCAGGGCAAGTTGTACGGGGGAGGGAGTAAGGAAGGATGGAGATAACAGAGGGTAGTTACAGTCACAGACATTGTCGAGCAGAACTTTGCATTGACCTTCAGTACAGGTTAGGGTTAGATTGTCTCAAATATTTAAAGATGCCCATTTTTTTTTTTTTAATTTGATAATTAATTTGATAATTGCCACCAACTCTTTATTAACCACTTGCTGTCCGCCTGCTGTTTATAAACGGCCGGATGGTGGCACTCCAGGGGCGGGTTGCCGTTCATAAACGGCACCCGCCATTTCTAGCTGTGCGCGCTCCCAGGGAGCGCGCAGCACCGCGATCCGGTGCCCGCTGTCTCCTCCGGACACAGTGAAACACCAATCGTCGGACAGGACCTCTGTACGAGGTCCCGACCATGTGATCACTGATTGGCCAATCAGTGATCACATGCAAAGTAGTAAGCAAGATGTCACTTGTGACATCATTGCTTACTACGTGTGAAATCTGTGAATGATCACAGAGATCACATGGTACAGGGCCATTCACAACAGCCTTGTACCATGTGACAAGCTGTGACCAATCACAGCTCACTCAGTATTTCTCAATGGGTGCAAGAATGCAGCCAGAGAGAAGGAGAAATGATTGATTTTACATCCTATATGGGTGTAAAAGTGTCAAGGTCCTACCTTTTCCCAGAGGTTATGCTGCTCCATGTGCTGGCATCCATCTTGGGTTTCTGCAGAGCATGGTGGGAGTCTTTTATGCCTTCAGGCCTCTGTGGTCCATCCCCCAGAGGGGTGTGGTTGATCATATATAAGCCTGTTGTCCGCACATGCTCTTTGCATTGGTGTCTTGTGCGTTAGTGTTGCAACAGCTCTGTGTATACTCTCGTGACTCTCCTGGAATCTGACTCGGCTTGTGACTAGACCATTCTCTGCATTTTCCTTTGATCTGACCTCCCGTTGCTGAACCCGGCCCATGACCTGTGATTCTTGTCTACTGTTCTGTACCGTTTGTCTCGCTGTTGTCGACCCGGCCTGCCTGACTACGCTATTGTCTGATCTGATTCCTACCAGCTACACACCATTGGCAGCGGCCCATTACCGCAGCTGGGGTGCCTCGGGGGCCGCGACCTGGTTCCTGGCTGCGTGAAGTCCATCCCCACCATCAGGGGCCCTGGTGAAGGACAGCCTGGGGCTTAGACTCCACACCCTGAGGCACTCCAGTCTGTGGGTGGTGGTTGTCGTCAGTCAGTGCGAGGCCCTGCCACTAGGCCTGCCTGTCCGTTCCACAGCTCCTGCCTTGACAAAAAGCAATCAGTGTAAAAAAAAAAAATATTCTTCATCACCCCCCACAGGTAGTACAGTGTCCCCATGGTGACACCGTACTGCTAGGGTGACAGTATGTAAAAAAAAAAAACAAAAACAAATAATATAAAAATGTAAAAAAAAAAAGTTTAAAAATTAAAATTATTGGTTATAAAATAGAGATGAGCGAATCGAAGTATCCGAAGTGGAATTCGAGTCGAATATCTGAAAAATTTCGATTCGTGCCGAATCCGAAAAATAGCCTAATTCGGACGCGCGAATCGAAATTTTTCAGAAAATGGCGGCTGACATGTGCGGCGACGGAGCGGGGATGTCTGGGAAGGCGCGCAGACAAGGCGCGCTGACCCATAATGCATTCCTCAACGACATGTGATCGCATCAGCCAATCAGCAGCCAGCCAGCCAGCACTGTGTAATGGTCGAGCTATAAATAGCGGCCATTTTGGAATTCTTCATTTGCCTGCAGTTATTGAACAGAGGCAGACCGCTCTGTACTAGGGACAGGGACAGAGTTAGGGCCACAGAAACGATAATTTGGGGACAGAGAAAAGTTACTTAGGGACAGAGAACCATTACTCAGGGACACAGACTTGTTAATGAGGGCCACAGAATCGTTATTTAGGGACAAAGAAACGCTAGTTAGGGCCACAGAATTCATACTCAGGGACAGACAGAATTGTTACTCAGTGCCAGAGAATTGTTACTTAGGGCCACAGAAACGTTATTAGGCCACAGAATTTTTTACTCAGGGACAGACAGAATTGTTACTGAGTGCCAGAGAATTGTTACTTAGGGCCACAGAAACTTTACTTAGGGCCACAGAATTGTTACTCGACAGACACAGAATTGTTACTCGCAGGGACACAGAACTGTTACTTAGGGCCACAGAATTGTTACTCGCACAGACACAGAATTGTTACTCAGGGCCAGAAATGTTACTGAGGGCCACAGAATGTGACTTAGGGCCACAGAATTGTTACTCGCACAGACACAGAATTGTTACTCGCACAGACACAGAATTGTTACTTAGGGCCACAGAAGAATTGTTACTTAGGGCCACAGAATTGTTACTCGCACAGACACAGAATTGTTACTCTCACAGAAATGTTACTGCCACAGAACTGTTACTTAGGGACAAAGAAACGCTAGTTAGGGCCACAGAATTCATACTCAGGGCCAGACAGAATTGTTACTCAGGGACAGACAGAATTGTTACTGAGTGCCAGAGAATTGTTACTCAGGGCCACAGAAACTTTTACTTAGGGCCACAGAATTGTTACTCGCACAGACACAGAATTGTTACTGAAGGGCCACAGAACTGTTACTTAGGGCCACAGAATTGTTACTCGCATAGACACAGAATTGTTACTCGCACAGACACAGAAACTGTTACTTAGGGCCACAGAATTGTTACTCGCACAGGACACAGAATTGTTACTCGCACAGACACAGAATTGTTACTGAGGGCCACAGAAACTGTTACTTAGGGCCACAGAATTGTTACTCGGGCACAGACACAGAATTGTTACTCAGGGCCACAGAATGTTACTTAGGGACACAGAAACGCTTAGTTAGGGCCACAGAATTGTTACTCAGGGACAGACAGAATTGTTACTGAGTGCCAGAGAATTGTTACTGAGGGCCACAGAAATTGTTACTTAGGGCCACAGAATTGTTACTCGCAGACACAGAATTGTTACTCGGACAGAATTGTTACAGAGAATTGTTACTGAGTGCCACAGAATTGTTACTCGGGCAGACACAGAATTGTTACTGAGGGCCACAGAACTGTTACTTAGGGCCACAGAATTGTTACTCGCACAGACACAGAATTGTTACTCAGGGACAGACAGAATTGTTACTGAGGGCCACAGAAACTGTTACTCAGGGCCACAGAATTGTTACTCGGGCCACAGAATTGTTACTCGCAGGACACAGAATTGTTACTCGAGGGCCACAGAATGTTACTTAGGGCCACAGAAATTGTTACTCGGGCAGACACAGAATTGTTACTCAGGGCACAGACACAGAATTGTTACTGAGGCCACAGAATTGTTACTCAGGGCCACAGAATTGTTACTCGCACAGCCACAGAATTGTTACTCGCAGGGCCACAGAACTGTTACTTAGGGCCACAGAATTTACTTAGTTACTCGGGACAGACACAGAATTGTTACTCAGGGACACAGAATTGTTACTCAGGGACACATAATCGTTGAATTAAAGAGTATGTCAGACAACATGCAGAGGAGTGGCAGAGGAGGCAATGTTTTTAGGAGCGAGCAGACGTGGCAGCAGAGGAAGGGGTCGAGGCAGCACTATTCGCAGCCAGAGGCCAGTGCTCCCGGTGTCATCCAGCGGTCGTGTCTCCACCGACAACCCTGCCGTCATTGATTGGTTGGCTCGGTCGTCTTCCTCTTCCCAGGTCACCTCTGACACCTACAGCCAACGGTCGGTGGGTACGTCAGACACAACCGTTAGTTGGCATGGCCCGGGAGCAAGCCCACTGAAATCACATGTCCTCTACCTGCCCCTGTCCTTTGCTGTTCCCTCACCAAGCGAAGTATCGCATGCTGTGGGCTCAGCCCCACTGTACAGTGAGGAAGAGCTAACAGAGGGCGGTCAGGAACGGGGGGAGACATCGGCCTTTTCAGCAGCCAGGCGAAGAAGTACTGGCGAGGAGAGTGGCTCTGTAGCCGGTCTAGAGACAGGTCTGTCTCCTGACCCAGACGCAGCCGAGGGGGCTAGTAGTGAGGCGGAGACCGTACTTGATGATGAGGAGGTTGATCGCACTTGGCTGCCTCGTCGTCATCAGGCAATTTCTTCCGCATCATCAGGAGAAGAGGGTGCCAGCTTGGCAGCGAGCGAAACAGTCGGTGGGTTGCCCAGGAGGCAGCAGGGTCGCATCAGTGTCAGTGGAGCCAAACGTCCACGGAGTAGTAGAGCACCAGCTCCACTGCAGCCTACCACCACGGCCAGTAGTGGTGCCGGTGCGCACGGAGGAAGTAGCAGTCAGCCAGTGAGGAGTAGCGGGGGCAAAGTTTCCTACTCGGTGGTGTGGCAATTTTTCGTCAAGCCGCCCGAGGAAGTAAACGTAGCCGTATGTCGACTATGTGGCCAGAAATGCAAGCGTGGCCAGGGGGCCCATGTTGGGACTACAGCGTTGCGTCAGCATATGCAGCGTCGTCACATTCGGTGGCCTGGGAAAACCGTGATAAAGATACGGCGGTTCTGCCTGCCCCAGCCCCCGCTCCATCACCCGCTCCGTTACTTGCTCCGTCACCCGACGTCGTCAATCGCCCTCTATCAGCCAGTCAAGGCTCCAACACCTCTGCTGAGGGGAGTTGTCGCTCGTTGGCATCTTCCGCTCGTTCAGATGCTCCTTCTCCTGCTACTCCTCTTCTCGGATTCCGTCAACAGTCTTTCTTGGAATCCGTTTCCAAGAGACAACAGTTTGCGAGCACGCACCCGACGGTGCAAAAGCTGAACGTCCTCCTGTCCAAGTTGCTGGTGCTGCAGTCCCTCCCTTTCCAACTGGTGGAC